TTTTTGGTGTGTGTGTGTGTGTGTGTGTGTGTGTGTGTGTGTGTGTGTGTGTGAGATTATTCAGATCTGGGTGGTTGAGAAATGAACAAACACACGATCTCCATTTACAACAGAGATCTTAAAGAGGAAATAGATAAAAACCTTAAGTAGATCCAGGAAAACACAAACAATTGGAGAAAATTACCAAATCCCTTAAAGAATGCCAAGAAAATAGAAACAGCTGAAAGAAATGAGTAAAACTGTTCAAGACTTGAAAATAAAAAATAGAAGGAATAGAGAAAACACAAATTGAAGGAATTCTGGAAATAAAAGTAGGAATTTAAGTAGGTTCTACAGAAACAAGCTTCACCAACAGGATTCAAGTGATGGAAGAGAGAATCTCAGGCACTGAAGACATAATAGAAGAAATGGATACATTGGTCAAAGAAAATATTAACTCTAAAAAATTCCTAACACAATATCAAGGAAATCTGGGACACTATGAAAAGACCAAACCTAAGAATAACAGGAATGAAGAAGAATCCCAGCTCAAAGGCCCAGAAAACATTTTCAACAAAATCATAGAAGAAAATTTTCCTAACATAAAGGAGATGCCCATCAAGGCATAAGACACATATAAAACACAAAATAGATTGGGCCAGAAAAGAAAGTCCCCTTGCCACATGATAGTAAAAACATCAAAAATATAGAACAAAGAAGGTTAAAAGCTACAAGGGATAAAGACCCAGTATCAAATAAAGACAGATCTATTAGTGTAGGAGGAGGGCCTGCATGTTCATCCCAGCCACCCGGCTAGCTTAGCTCTGAAATAACCACACAGAAACTATGTTAATTAAACTATTGCTTGGCCCATTGGCTCTAATTTCTTATTGGCTAACTCTTACATTAATTTAACCCATTTCTATTCATCTGTATATCACCATGTGGCAGTGGCTTACCAGCAAAGATTTCGAAGGTCTGTCTCTGGCAGCTCCATGGTGTCTCTCTTCCCGCTTTCTTCCTCCCAGTTTAGTTTTCTCTGCCTACTTGTTCCCCTACAGCTCTGCCATAGGATCAAAGCAGTTCCTCTGACCAATAAAAGCAACATATAGACAGAAGGACCTCATACACCATATTAGAATTACACCTGACCTCTCAATGGAGACTCTAAAAGTCAGAAAGGCCTGGACAGATGTGCTGCTGCAGATTTTAACAGACCACATAGGTTACCCTAGACTATTATACTCAGCAAAACTTTCAATCACCATAAATGGCGAAAATAAAACATTCCATGATAAAGTCCAATTTAAAATATCTACATATCTAAAGAAGGCACTAGAAGGAAAAGTCTAATCTAAAGAGGTTTAACTTCACCCATGAAAACAGAAAATAATCCTACACAGCAAAATCAAAAGAGGGGAAGAACACAACTACCACTACCAGTAGCATAACAGGAATCAACAAATTATTAGTCACTGATATCCCTCAACCTCAATCTCAATTCCCCAATAAAAAGACAGAGACTAACAGAATAGATATAAAAACAGGATTGTTGTGGGACAATGGTCTTGTACTCTGTAAACATTTGTTACTTGTATTAATTTAATAAAATGCTGATTGGCCAGTAGCCAGGCAGGAAGTATAGGCAGGGTGACCAGAATAGGAGAATTCTGGGAAGAGGAAAGGTTCAGTCTGCAGTTGTCCCTAAGGAAGCCAGACACAGAGGAAGCAAGATGAGACTGCCTCACTGATAATAAGTACCAAGTCATGTGGCTAATACAAACAAGAATTATGGGCCAATGTAAGTTATAGGAGTTAATAAGAAGCCTGAGCTAATAGGCCAACCAGTTTATAATTAATGTAGACCTCTGAGTGTTTCTTTGGGGCTGAATGGTTGCAGGATCGGCAGGACAGAAACCTCGGGCAACACAGGATCCATCCTTCTGCTGCAAAGAAGAAATACACTCTAAGATCAAAGACAGACATTACTTTAGGGTAAAAGGTTGGAAAAAATTACAAGCAAATGCACCTAAGATGCAAGCTGGGGTTGTTATTTTAATATCTATTTCTAGTGAACAAAAACATTAAAACCAAGTCTGGAGAATGAAAAAAGAAAAAAAAAAGAAAAGGAACCACGCTAATTGTTCAATACCAGGAATGAGGTTAACGTGTTTTATTTTTTGTAAATTATACATTCATAATTTATTATTAAAATGTGAACACAATCAGTCATATAATACAACTTATATACTTTGCATATTATATACTTTGTATAATATGCACAGTAACATATGGCACATTCAGGACATAACATGACTTAGAAGAGCCTTTAAAGCTTTTAATTATCACTGGACAATATCTGTCCCTTTAATTTACCTTTGAAAACTTAAAACTGCTCAGAAATCTTTCTTCTTGTTTATTCAACAGAGACCACTCTGTTAGTTCTGCAAGGCACTATGTTAAGAACCTATTACCTCCCTCTCTCTGCTGTGTAAAGCTTAGTTTGACCAAGGTATGGATTCATCTTCCGAACTTATAGATGATAAAGGAGGACTCATGTATGGCTAGTAAACACTGTCGGGGCAGAACCTCAGCACGGTGTTCTCACTATGCTTCCTTCCAGCTTCTCCGTGAGCTCTGCGTAGACTACAAAGCCAGGCAGTTCCAAGTGCACAGAACACTCCTGCGCTGTATTCCAGGAGGCTGAACTGTGAATGCTACACCTAAGGGATAACGTGGCACTGTCCAAATCATTTGTGCCACATACCCCAGTTTGTAGCTACCCATCTTCAGCTACAGATTTTTCTACTTTTTTTCCAGCCAGTCTCAGCCCAGGCTGCCCCTATACTGTTGATCCTTCTGCCTCTACCTCCCAGGTGCTGTGACTGCAGTCAGGTGCCATCACGTTCAGCTACAGCTCTGTTCTTGATCACAAGTCACCAAGGGCTGTTGTTTACTGCATGAAATGGCTACCATTCTCCCCAGAATAGCTTTGAAACTCACTTCCTCAAATGAGGTATGTCTGAATTGTGTGTTTTAGTGTTTTCCAGTGTAGCAAACAAAGGAACTACAGTTCTAATAGCCTGCAGTGCTAGCCAACCTGACAACACACCCTCTGTACACCTCCCTTTCCAGTCTTCCTCAGCCACACTATCATCCACTGTCCCGAAGGTACTTGCCCTTCAACTGTCCCAGGTTGCAGCTCTAAGGGATCTGAAGAGTAAGATACCCGAGTGACAGCCTCGAGCACTGCTACTGGTTGGTCACAAGCACTTGCTGTCATAAGCAAGCTTGTTTCATTGTGTGCCCCATCCTGCACATACAGACATTGTCATAGTCTAGGCTATTACTAATATTCTCCAATAAAAGGAAAACTTAATTGCTTTTAATTAGAAAATAGACAAATTTATTATATATGTAATCTTTATTAAGTCAAGTGACCAGTATCCCCTACTTCTGAAATTCTAATTGCAGAGATCTGAACAATCCACTTCCTATTTACACCAACAGAGGGCAAAGTAGAGAAAAGGGATTAAACTTTATTCTTCGACTCAAGAAGAAAAAAAAACCCAAATAAACCAAAAAACAAACAGATGGCACTCATGGGTAAAAGGAAAGAAGTTTGTACAATCTTATAATAAAACACAGTACATAATATATATCATACTCTCTAGGGACTGCAGTGACTATGTGGCGCATGATCAATAAACATGGATACCACATATGGCCGCACTTAAAGTTGAAAGTTGTTTTCATGTAACAGCAGGTATACATGATAAATAAATAAACTCAATATGCCTAGAAGACAAACTTTACCGCCTAGGAAGGAAGAACTTGTTCACCATACTCACAGAAGAGATGGAGATGAAACATGAAAATCCCGTTAAAATCAGATGTTTCATTCATTAACTGACTTGTTGGCTCCTGTTTTCATTGGAGACATGACTGACATAGTCTAGTAATTAAGTTAATACAAGAATGTAAGACAAGCACTAAAAATAGGGGTTCTCTACTGGTTCTAGAGCTGAGGGTAAATCACCCGCCCTCAACTGTATCCATCTTATCCCTTCAGATCACAGAAGCCATACGACACACAGTATGTTTGGAAAACTACCACCTCTAGTTGAGAACAGACTTTTACAGAGTTAGTGGAAGCCTCCCTCTTCTACTAATGCAAACTCTACCTGATGCTGTTTGAGAACAGATGGGACTTGCAGCAAAAAAAAAAAAAAGCCTTTTAATTAAAACAAACTTTATTTGTATTATAAATTCTATCCTGACATACTGGACCAAGAATATGAGACCATGTCTCTGAAAAACTATGAAATGACTTTTTATGATTCATAATGAATTTCAAAACAAAGTCTCATTCTTACTTAAACAGTTGCTTAACCAAACATTTCACTGCACACTAAAGTAACATTTAATAAGTTGGTTCTACTAGAGAGCTTTTAATATTGAGTTTCAAATAAACTGAGACATGAAAAAGACAGGAAAACATTCACACTAAACAGACTGTTCTAAATCAAATTTAGTGTGAATTTAAGGAACCATACAATTCTCCTTTGTTGTAGTAAGAGACACTATTTGGAGATTTTCTGGGGCCATTTTATAGAGCTAAATAATACAAAAAAACAAGAAATACAGCTAGTCCCACAGATATCAGTTATGAGAAAGTATGCAAGAAAAAAAGTGCAGTTTTAACATCTTAACTATTGATACAAACTCCAGCACAATGGGGACATGGCCACACTATGGTTTATCCATATGGTTTAAAGTTTACCAGTAGAGGGCGCCTGAAATGCACAACCACATAGTTCCGTCAGCATGGAAAGAAATGCCCTCCTTTCCTTCTACACACTGGCTAAAAATGGTAATGCTGACTTGTGGCTGGAAGTGTACTCAGGAGTCTTTACAGTTCCAGCTTTAAAAAGCTACTTCATTGTCTCCTGAACAGAATTAGGCAGGGCAGCAATTGGGCGTACTTCTCAACAAACTTTCCAGTTTTTGGGTTTTTTTTCCTTGGTTCAATATTTCAAAGTCTAGATCTGTCATGGGAGGAAGTCTTCCTTTCATCCATAGGTAAAGTTTATAGAAAATAAAATCAAGTGCAGAAGATTAATGATTAGTTATAAAGACCAGCATCATATGTTTATCAGGCATAAATAATGTACTTGTTATGGCAAATCCACTCAGAACCAGACAGTGGATTATCACATGTGGATCCTGACGCCCCCATTTCTGTCTCCGACTTCTAGGTCCACTGCAGACTGGAAGGAGGGGGAGGACTTCTGGGTCTCATTGTCGTCTGAAGATGCTGACCTGACGGGGCATTGCATCATCAGCTCCAACACTCCAACCGTTGGTGCACTGCATTAGTAGTTCATCTGTTCCCTGTGACCTCACTGTCACCACCTGTCTGCCATCATTAAAAAAGAAGAAAAATAACTGTTCCATTCAGGTGATGCATACACAGAAGTTGTCTAAGAAAATTTGGGACCAAACAGCGTTTCCAGTTAGAAAAGACTCGGAAGAAACAGCAGTCCCTAGCAATCTTTGTTGTCACTGGAGTCCCAGCATGACAGTCACAGTGTGGGGTATGGAGAGCCAGGCTTTCCCATCATCACTTGGTCCCTGACAATCAAAGGGTGGGGTATGAGGAGCCATACTTTCACATCATCCTTTGGTCTGCGCTCTCAGAGGCAGAAAATCTTTTCTTTGCAAAGGTTACAGAAGGTGACATTTCATAGAATTAAGGCTTTCTCTTTCAGAGATCAAAAAATGGGACAAAGTAAATGAAAATAACATTGTGACTGTCTTTAAAACATTTTAAAACTACTTTTTTTTATTGAAAACAGATTTTTCTTTATACAATATATTCTGATTACTATTTCCCCTTCCCAAATCTCCCATCGGAATCCACACCCTTTGTGACTCTCCTTAGAAAACAAGCATCTAAAGGATGGTAATAAAGAAAACAAAGACAAACAAACTGGAATAGGACAAAATAAATAGAAGAAAAAGAGCCAAAGAAAAAGCACAAGAAACAATACACACATCTGTACACACAGGAATCCCATAAAAACATACAACTGGAAGCTCAAATATAGCTGCAAAGAACCTATAAGATAAAGACAAATGGCCATCTATTGTTGTGAGGTATCCACCAAAGAAGACTACTCGGAGAGAGTCAAGCCACAGAAGTCTTTATTAGGCTGATACTGATTGTACTGGGTTTTCTGGACCAGAATGTAGTCCTGAGCCTTTCTCAGAGTGGGCTTTTAAGTACAAAAACCACATCTTGAGTTGACATACCCCAATTAGCCAGAAGCCAAGAACTACATCCCATCTAGGGATGTACTGTGGCCTTCAATGGTTTAGGTCTTTGCTCTAATTCTGTCAGGTGTCGTTGCCTACACACCAGGTTCCAAGGTCTGAATGGCATTTCCATCACGGCATCAGTTGTGCTAATCTTGGGGCCTGTAACTTTACTTCTGGGAATAGGGCCTACCCTTAAGTCACTCTTCTTCAGTATTACCAAAGAAAACTGTCACTAGCAAATCTACATAGAACAAAACACCCTGGTCACCAACAGCATCAAGGAGTCTTCCACACCTCATGTCTCTTCCAGCTCCACGATCTCGTGCCTTATGATCAGCACCTGGGACTGGGACACCATACTGCAGTGGATGTTCCATTTCTCTGTTCATGCTCTTCCCAGGCTGCAGGAGACCACAATTCAGAGGACCACGCTACTCAGGGTTTGCTGCTATACTGTCTTTTGAAAAACAAACAAATAAACAGTAATGTTTTTCTGTTTAACATTATGATCTGAAACACTTTCTAAGTGGTTTCAGCATTTAGAGAAAACGTCATGGTCTGGTTGGAGAGAACTAAGAGCTACATCTTCACCAGTGAGCATGTTATCTGAAGTCTTCAAATGTACACACCCCTACAGTCAGACACTACATTAAAAAACATCACAAAGAACACTTTTTTATATGTGAAGAGTTTTGGCTACAAAGATATTCACTTGGAGTGCTAGTTTTTAAAGAACAATGACATGAAAAAAATCAATATATAGGAAACTGCTTAAATATATTGTTTATCCACACAAGTTTCTAAGATGATACCAGAAATTATACTGTAAGAATACACTTAAGGAAACAGATTATACTCACAATGTATATTAAGTAACAAAGCAGTATGAAAAAAATGTTCTCTAATCCCATTACTTTGTATAAAAAATTACATAAATGCCTTAAAATCATGAACTGAAGACTTTTTGAATAGAGCATGTCTGTTGTCTTCCCATTGAAACAACTGTCCAAAGTTTTATTTTTAAAGAAGTAGTATGTGTGTGCAGTGTGCACATATGTGTATAAATATGCCAGATGAGACTGACTGCCTGTGCACATGCATGTGGAAGCCACAGGTCACTATGGCTGAGAAGAGATCTCTCCCTAACCCTGAGCTTGTTATCTGGCTGGCGAGTCCTGGCATATGCCCATTCCATCTCACTGCCTGGCTTTTATGTTGTTGCTGGGAATCTGAACTCGGGTGCTCAGGCCTGCCTATGCAGTAAGCACTATTTATCAAGTCATGTCTGCAGCCCTTAGAAGTGTTTTTAAAAATTTATTTAATTGTATTTCATGTACATTGATGTTTGGCTGCAAGTATGTCTGTGTGAAGGTGCCAGATCCCCTGAAACAGTTATGAACAGGTGTAAGCTGCCATGTGGGTGCTGGGATTAGAACCTGCGCCCTTTGCAAGAACAGCTTGTCCTCTTAACCACGCTGAGCCATCTCTCTAGGCCCATGTAGCTTTTAAGAACAATGCCCTAAAATTTTTCTTAAGGTCATATAGCAAAAGAAAAAAATCATTAAAACAAAAATAACAAACCAAGCAAACAAAGGCAGGCAAACCCAGTTTAGCTCCCTCCTAGCATATAAGACCTTAGTCCCCACCCCCAACCCCCACTTCTAGGCCTTTGTGTCAGCTGCCTATTCCTAAAAACACTTTCATCAGGGACCCTCAGTGGCCACACCGGCCTGGGACTCAGGTAGGAGATTCTCACTATCCTTCCTGACCTTCATTACAGTCCTGCCTTAACTTATTCCTGTAGCAGTCTGCTTTCAGTAGCCCATCCTCCCACTTCTAGCCCTTTCCTGCTTTCAGAAGCCCACCATCCAACCAAAGGTCCACTCCCTGGGGACTCAGCCTCTTGGTGCAGAACCCATGCCCCTAGCTTTTGCCCTAACCTACTCTCATATGGCCTTGCTTCTAGCCCATCTCCATTCCCTCTGCCACCCACTGACCTACAGAAGCTCTCTCTACTAGGGACCCACAACCACCACACCCTGCCTAGGATCCAGATAGGACAACAGTAACCAAAGACTGGAACAGTCACCCAACAAAGACAAGACTAGATATCAACACCAAGAAAAATTTCAAACATCATAACTCCAGAAGTACAAAGGACACAAACATGAACAGACAAGACAATATGCCTCCACCAGAAGTAAGTAATTTGTTTTGCAGTTTCATAGCAGGTCCTGAGAAATACAATAACCTGAAGCACAAGGCAAAAAAAAAAAAAAAAAAAAAAAGAGAAAAGAAAAAGAAAAAGAAAAAAAACCCTATTGTAATTGAAGTACCGACAATCTGACAATACAAACACTGCATGCAAGCTGAGACAGGAGATGGGAAGGATGGGAAGTGGATACCAGTCAGGGTGGGCATGACTCCATCCATCATCTGCTGAAGATCATACTCAGTGTCCGGTGTCAAGTCTGGCCATGCTCCATGATGACTGCCTCGGTCCCTCCTAAAGATGATTAAGACACAAACCAGCACATCCCTATCCCTGGTGGAAACCAAACAGTGACTTCACCATGCAGGGGCAAAGAAGAGCAGGCTAATGGAGCCCAGTTCTCCCTCACAGCATGTTTCAGAGAGACTTCTGCCTCCAAACTTGGGTCAGCAACACCCTTGTCACCAAGAATTCATCTTAGAACGAGGCACTCTGCAGAGCAGAAGAAAGGCCCCAGGTTGACAACAGCACTAAAAAGAAAAAAAAAAAAAAGACTTTTGTTTACAAAGCAGTCCAGGACTGACTGTACCAGTGACACTGAAGGCCTCAATTCTGCATACAGCATGTACTGAGTAATCAAGGTCTTTTAAATAAGATACTTGAAAGAAATACAATAACAACTATTCATTGCTTGCATGGAGCAAATGCTGCTTATCAGCCCTACTGAGGGATCTCTAATGCTTTGACAATTGGGAACTCCAGGGTGAATTACTAAAAATATCACTCAGTGCTTTGCAACAAAGGATCTCTCCAAATCTGCTGACTAAGGAAACAATGCTAATACTTATGATTTCTCACTAAACTAAGTCTTAAATGTCAGATTACACACACACACTATCTAAATTAAGTGAAAGAGCTTAATAAAAAAATCTTAGTTAATATAAAATAGTTAAGTGTTAGGCTGGGGACAGGCGGCACAGAGGCACACAACTTTAATTCCATCACTAGGGAGGCAGAAGCAGGTGGATCTCCGTGAGTTTGAGAGGAACCTGCTCTATGTAGCAAGTTTCAGGCCAGCCAGAAGTATGTAAGTGAGACTGTCTCAATCATGATGCCATTAAAAAGAAACAAGCAAGTGCCAAGATGGAACAAACCAAAGAGAATCAAAGCTTTTTGATTTTGAAAGTAATTTCCATTTATTATGAGATATAAAGTAGTTATATATATTGTTTGCAAGCTCTTGCTACATGTGAAATTTGAACTGACTAAGAATAAAGTACCTTACTTTTGACATGTAAATAATTCACTAAATACCACTCCTGGTACCCAGCTCTAGTCTGCCCTGTTAATTCAAAGCACAAACAGTGGAAGGGGAGAGGAAAAGCAGAACAAAGTCAGGCGAGCCAGTGACAAGGACAGCGTTATTAGCATTCCCTGTGCCCAGGCAAATCTTCATTTAAGGGACCTTTACAAATAGGCACCTGCAACTTTTTTTTTAAACAGAAACATTGACTAGGCATAGGTAGTAACTTGGATAAATGAAAAATCATAGGAAAGATACAGCATTAAGGCTCAAAACTGACTCAATGAAAAATAAATTCCATTTTCTGAAATAAACATGTCTTCCTACTTTCTTGATTTCTATTTGAAAGATGGAGTACTGTGCACAAGAGACAAAGACAGTGATTTGAACTTAGAGTTTCTCAGGATGAACAGCAAGCAGTGCACACGCCAAAAGAACAAGGCCAGAGGGAAAAAAAATAATGTTGGCCTGAAACTCAATTAACTTCCTTAACAAATGCAAAACTCAGTTCCCAAACATGTGGGACTATGTAGAAAACAAAGTATATTAAGCAACAAGGTAATATTTAAGGATGACTTCCCCACTGTACAAGGCAGCAAAACAGAAGGAAATTATTGACCTCGGAAATATTCTTGCTGTTTGTATCCATCAATGCCTTCTGCACTAGTAGAATGTTTTCAGATTACATGTAATTTTCACCTGGCATAAACACACAAAATGTTATTTAAGTGCTCCAGGTCGTGATCGGGTCTAGAATCAAATGTATACTCTGGACAAAACAGAGTACACAAATCTTCACAAGGTCTCCTTAGGATTGACGTTAAACATTTCTTATAAATGAAAGATTTCTAAAGGATGGCCAGAATTTTTGTATTCAAAGATCTAATATTCTCACATTCATTCAAAGTGAGGTCCAGGGGATGAGGTGTTGTCAAAGCCGGGTCTTAGTGAAATCACTTTCATTCCCACTTCAATCTGACACAGTATTAACCAAGGACTCTGCCCCCCTTTCCACCAAGGTCACTTAACCTAAAGCCATGAAATCAAATCTCCTTTCCTGGCTGCTAACTCTTTCTGAATGGCACTAAAAGTCTCACACCACTGCTGTTTTCTGTATATATGAAAACACTGGAAAAAGACTATAAGAAATTTCTGTACCACTCTATCCTTTTTTTAAAAAAAAATATTTATTTATTTATTATGTATACAATATTCTGTCTGCGTGTATGCCTGAAGGCCAGAAGAGGGCATCAGACCTCATTACAGATGGTTGTGAGCCACCATGTGGTTGCTGGGAATTGAACTCAGGGCCTTTGGAAGAGCACACAATGCTCTTAACCGCTGAGCCATCTCTCCAGCCCCCACTCTAACTTTAAATATTATAACTTCCTTTTTCTCATTACATTATCTGAAATTGAAACTCCATGGAAATAATAGTCAACAGGTACAAACATATAAACTACTGGTCTTTTGTGGTGACAGGATGACCCAGGACCAAGTATTAAAGAACTGAGCTTCCACAGCCCATACCTATGGTGCAGCAGGGTGGCTGGGGGTAAAATACTCACTGCCAGCACTGACAACATGCCCATAATGCCTGGTCCATGAGGACTGCTTTCCTGAGCATCAGTATCTCACATTTTCTTAACTTCTTTGATGGGGATGTGTTTGTGAAACAAGTCATCATTCTTATTATAAATAATCATTTTTAACACAAGGCGGCCAAATAACAAACAAAAATAGTTATTACTAAGTTATTAAATTTGTCTATATGACTTAATAAATACTTACAAGTATTCTTGGAACACACTTCAGTCATCCAATTAAGTGCCAAAGATGAGTTATGCCAACTGGGAGTGTGCCACAAACAGTGAAGAACATAACAGTAGAGCTACAGAGGTCTTCGGCACAGCATGACACGGCTGTGAGAGCTGGCTCATGGTCCTGTTAGAACATGAATTTGAAGAGCTGCAAAAGGGAGGGACAATATGATAAGATGAATGGACAATACAATATGGTCTAAACTCACACTTGAATATAATTCTACCTTAACAGAAATAGATGTGACTTTAAAACCATGTCAACTGACATACGTATCACAAAAAGCCAAGTGTTGTGTGGTTTTACATGATGCATTTAGAAGGAGCAGACATGTCTCATTGTCATGAAAAGCCCTAAGTTATTAAAACATTAAATGCCATATTCTGTAGTCTTTGAAAGATAAGAATGTCTATTTAACTGAAATATCTCTCTATATACCTAAAAATCTAACTAACATGACTACAAGCTTGACAATTATTGATGATTATTCATTAACAACCTATATTTCCTAATTATACATTACATTTTTAAATGAACTACACAATCACAATACCTTAATCAATATCAGAAATACATATACATATAACAAAATTGATCTTAAAATCCATACCAATGCAAATTATTCATATCTATATCATTTAGATACACTCAATTTACAGGAAACAAAATAGTGAGTAAAGAGGCTGCCACAAGGAGAGGATGAGAGGCTGTAGCTAACATATATAATAAAGAAACAGAAGAAAACCTCACAGGCTGCCAAGAAGAAATCAAAAGCTGTAGTGTAGCAGATCACCTTACACACTACCTGGCAATTCAACCAGCAATCTACATTACAATTAAATCATGGCAAAGGGGTTGGAGAGGTGGCTCAGCGGTTAAGCGCACTGCCTGCTCTTCCAAAGGTACTGAGTTTAATTCCCAGCAACCACATGGTGGCTCACAACCATCTGTAAAGAGATCTGGTGCCCTCTTCAGCCTGCAAGCACATATGGAGACAGAATACTGAAAATACTGTATACATAATAAATAAATCTTTATTTTGAAAAAAAATAAATAAATAAATCATAGCAATGATTAGATAGACTCAGCAAAGGCAATCCATCTATTGTCCTTCTATTACAAGGCTTAAAAAACAAACAACAACAACAACAACAAAAACACCCTGCCACCACAAGTTACATCAACCTGTTGAAATCATCATTAGCTCCATATAGGAGGATGGGCTATGAATGAAGTTAAGACTTCAAAAGGCTCTCTACCCCAAAGTATTATTTTTTTCATAGGATGTGTACAGACCCTAAGATCTACATACACACACACAATTATGTATGTATCTTAGGTTATAAAAATAAGTATGTATGTATATATTTAACTTATCCTTTGATTACTGAATAATTTTAAATAAAAAATTAATCAACAAATAAGCCTTTCTAGGAGCTGGGTGGCATTCTACAAACAAGAAAACATAAGTCTTGGACTCAAACATGTGACTGGATTGAAAACTAGCACATGCGGTATGAGGCTACCACTGTGGCATTTCTGAACAATTTGTCTTAGTAGATTCTCCTTCCCCTTTCATCTCTCTCGGTTCCCCGCTTCCCTCAACCCGGCTTAGTACCCCGCCCATGTCTCCCCATCTCAGCTGCAGGAGTCCTTTTGCAGCAATTCAATTCCTCACTTCTTTGTGTTTTTGATATACAAAGTGTGGACTGGATCACTCACCAATGAGTAACATCGTATCACAAAGTTTGCTCCAGGATAGTTTCCTCCCCTTCCCAGGGCTTCACAGTCCACAGCCCCCAAAGCCTGCATTGTCTGAAACACCGCTGACAGCCACAATGATGGCATTCATCTTCTGTGTTGTAATTTAACGGGAAGTTGTTCTTTAAAGGTTCGCACTGTAGAGATGGTCTACTGAGACAGTGAGATGAAGCACTCAATGGCACCATCTCACCACCAAATACAACACCCAGCTGCAGAATTTGGCAACATCTCACCATCAAAATAAAACACCCATTTGCAGAATTTGTCAGTTTCTAAATTTTTCCGTCAGTATTACCATTGCCTCCATTTCGGGACAAGTGGCTACACCTGGAAGCTGGCCTTCCAGAATCCGTGTAAGCGCTAACGGTAGCCATCAAGATAGCAGCTGTGGTAAATGAGAATTCCTCTCCTGCCAAATCTTCCATTCTTTACTAGTTAACTTGTAGAATGTATTTTCAACCATTACATGTGACAGCCTCAGAGTGAACTCAAAAGAGAAGAAAGTGACTTATGCACCCTAGGACACTTCTTTATGGCACATTGTGGCTCTGTATCTGTCAACTACATCCAGAAACCGACAAACTGTAAAGTCATGGATGACCTGCCCTATTATGTTCACCCTTAAAATCCTGTAAGTGAGAGACATACTCAAGACATTCTTTGACTTTGAGTTGTTACTTATCTGCCTATCATTCTCCTGTTCGGATCTTCACAGGAAATCACTGGAAAAAGCTTGACAGTAATTTCAATGCACTTTGATTCATCTTAGTAGTTCCAACTGGATATTAAAGCAGAGCTGTTTAATGTGAAAACTTCTGACAAAGTATACATAATTATGAGACTATATTGACTGATAATGTATGTATAGGTAATCCATGTGAGTGATGTTCAAGTATTACGACATGATAGATAACCTATGTTAACTGTGACTCTTCCTTGCTTTGCTTGACATTTTGCTCTCTTGTAGAAGCACTCTTTATCTAAGGTACAACAGTTTATTTTGTTTACTGTCCATCCACCATCCATCTTAAAGCTAGCTGTGTGGGGAAGGGTCTGTGTTTCCCACTGACATGTCCCAAGAGTCAAGAACAGTACCCACACAAACACTTTATATCTAAGAAGCATAGGACAAATGCATCGGCAAACAAGAGTTCCCAGAGAAGCTAGTAAAGTTTGTTTCCTCACCGTATCCCAAAGTGGTCATGGCAACATCATCAAAGTTTATGAAAGAACTTTGTGTTTTGGGAAATTCTTAAGCATAAACAAGCAACTGGGAATCTATCAAGTCCCTCAATTCTCTGACTGTGTCCTGAAAGTCTGGCTGTGAACTGTGAATGGAAAAAAGAGGGAAAGGAAACATGGATAAAGCAGAGAAATAAGGGTGAATGTACTGATCACCCAGCAATGGCTAAAGGCAGTTGCTAGGAGAAAAAGTGCTGTTTCTAGAACTGGATTAGGCTTTTTTGTTTTGAGCACTTGCATGTTCATGTGTATGGGCGCGTGTAGAACTCAGAGGTCTAGCATGGATGTCATTCCTCAGGAGTTATCCATCGTAATGTCTGAGACAGGGTCTCAGTAGAACCCGAGGCTAGCTAAACAGGCTAAGTGGCTGGCCAGTAAGCGCCAGAGCTTCTGTGTCTATCCCCAATCCTCCTTTCCCCTGATGTAGGAGGTCCTTCTGTACATGTGTTCATTTTATTGCTTAATGAATAAAGCTGTTTTGACCAATGGCTTAGCAGAGTAAAGCCAGGCAGAAAATCCAAACAGAGACAGACAGTAGGTAGAGTCAAGGAGATGCCATGTAGTTATTGAAGGAGAAAGACACAGGAACTTTACCAATAAGCCAAAGCCTCATGGTGATACATAGATTAATATGAATGAGTTAATTTAAGATATAAGAGTTAGTTAATAAAAAGCCTGAGCTAAGAGGCCAAAAAGTGTTGTAATTAACAAAGTTTCTTGATGGAGAACCTTCAGCCAATGACCTTTAAGAGCCGAGACAAAGTTGGGGTGTGACCTTTTGGGTACCCAGAGAAAACCACCGGTCAGCCCAGTTCTCTCTCTCTCTTGTTCCCACACTCCACACCTTGAGGTTAGATTTCCCATTCCTGTTCCATGAGTTTTTCCCTTACAATAAAGAATAATATTAAAATCTTTTGGAGTTAGCCTGGGATTATTTGACTCGCAGTCCACCCCCCCCCCAATACACATTTAGCTACAGTTTTTGTGTGATTATTCTGGTCTGGGTGGCTGGGAAACAAAACGCAGTCTCTGGTTACACTCCCCAGAGCTGGGATTACAAGCGGGTGCTACCATGCCTGAATATTTCTGTGGGTTCTGGGGCTTGAACCTGGATCAACAAGCTTCCTCAGTATGCACTTTACAGCCGGAACTACCTCTACAGCCTCGCCTCTACTTAAAATGTTATTTGTTTGTGTGGTTGTGACAGTGTTTCATGTTGACTGGGCTGGCCTTACCTATGCTAAGTAGCTGAGGACTAAGGTTTATGATCTCCTGCTTTCACTTCCCAGGGACAATATTACTGGTAGAGACCACCATGACCCATTTAAGTGGTCCTGGGGATCAAGACAGATTTGTGCGCGTTTTATACATGCTAAGCAAGCATTCTATCAACTGAGCTACATCCTCAGCACCCTGGATTTAAAGTCCTCTATAAATCACAATATTCTTCTATCTGTTTGCCAAATACTCTTATCCTATCAATCCAGCAGCTTCAACTCTCACCTTGCTGTTAGCCTGGATCCTTAACACTTTTTGACTATGTAGTGGAGGACAGGTATTTTTCCTTAGCCCGTATCCAGAATAGGAAATGTCTATAGACAGCCAGCTAGAGACAGGAAGGGCATAAGCCTGACCATACAGGACAGGTTGATGCTGGTGCTGTGCAGTGAAAACCACTAAAAGTTGACTAGGTGTTTCAGCCAGCTGTTTTTCTGAAGCTAGCAATGTGGGCATCTGTTTCCTCCCTGGTTCTTCTGACAAATCCAGGTAATTGCCTGCTCCACGTGACTATTCTCCAGTGGTAACTCTTGTTGTCTCCTTCCACTTGCTAAACAATGTCACTTGTGTAGATCAACTAATTAAAAAGGACACACAAACAAAAAACAAAAACAGGCAATAGAAACATGTAAAACCATCAGAACACTGTAAGTCTTGTATTAACTATAAATACTTACTTCCTGGTAAATTAAGGTTTTTAACATAAATTTTTTTCACTCTGGGTAAATACATATGATACGGTGATTTTTTTGTTTGTTTGTTTGCTTTTGTTTTTCAAGACAGGGTTTCTCTGTAGCTTTGGAGCCCGTCCTGGAACTAGCTCTTGTAGAACAGGCTGGCCTCACACTCAAGAGATCCACCAGTCTCTGCCTCCCGAGTGCTGGGATTAAAGGTGCTACCACTGCCCAGTGACATAGTGATTCTTACTAAATCCTCAAGAGTTACTGGCCTTCAGAAATGAAGGTCTTAAGATTTAGGAATGTCAATTTAGTCCTTAAAAGTATGAGGAACCCACATCAGGGATGTCTGTCCACAGAGCCTGTGTCATCAAATCCCAGTTTCCATGGCTACCTTCCCTGGTGTGTGACTCAGGGACTAGATGGCACAATGTAGAGGGAAAGGCGCCTCATTTTCAGTCTTTGTGTTCCATGTGAAATATAATGATCCTTACCTCAGAGGCATTCTGTGAGGGAAGAGGAGGTTATCTGTGAACAGGGTCTGGCACATAGTAGGAGCTGTACACATTTTTCTTAGCAATGATGTGCGATGAAGTAGTACATCAGAAAAGGCACCGCAGATTGAGGATGTGCTTATGCTATCTAGGAACTAGGAAAAGGTGTGTTAGAAGATCAACACTGTTATCAACACACACACAAAACAAAACAAAAACCCAGATTTTGAGATCATTTAATACCTTTTCTCTAAAATTGACTTTTACTAAATTTCTGTCTAAACAATGCTAAATAGAGTATATACTGGGTAGCTGACATAATCTGGTCAACAAAAAAATATATACCATAATGTAATTCAGATATAGTTCCATAAAATGATCTAGATATCCTCACGGAAACCAGGATTAAAACCAGGTTAAAAAAAAGACTTTGTCCACAACAATTGCTCAGGGCAGAGATAGAAGTAGATATCAGAAGGCCCACTCTGAAACAGCCTGAGTGTGCTAAATTTCTTTGGATTGTCTTCAATAACTCTAAGAAATAAGTACCTTCATCAATGTAAAAGGTATTGAAAGCAAGGGTTCAAAATGGACAAGCCTCCTTCAGATATGCCCTTGTACAATATAAACTTAGTATCATTAGCATAAACTAGAGAAGCATAGATTTTATATCAGACAAAAAGAATGAGTCCTCAGCAGCTCGGGAAGGTGGCAGATGAGAACTATCCAATGCATTCATGCAACTCCTAGAGAAAGGCTGAACCACAGGCAGATGGCTACGGGGACAGGAGGGTAGTGCAGAAAGAAAAGGGAGTACAAAATCAGACAGAATTTTGTAATAAAATACAGAAATACTACACTTTCTATTTGTAAAAGAAAAACCGATTTTGCACCTGGTGACAGGGTAGGTGGGGTAGAAGAATCTTGCTCAACAGGGTCTTAAGCAAAAAAGAGAAAGAAAACCCTGGCAAGGGGCAGACACAGAATCTGGTGCTGCAGAAACAATCTATGAGAAGTGTGAACTCCGCAGGGGTTCCCTGCACTTTCTAGCTTGGGCGCCAAAGTGGGGAACCACATCCAAAGGATTTTTACCTCATCAAACCCTATGGCTGGAGCAGGGGAATTGGTGGTCTCAGTAGCCTCTGCATTCAGCCAGACAAGTGACCACACTGAGAATCATACACCCAGGAACTTGGTTATGATTTAGACTGGACACAGGTCCATGGGATAGGACAGACGAATGAAAAGGTGGATCAAACTGAGAAATGTGGGCAGACCTCTGCGAAGAGGAACAAATCTATCTGGCCATGTGTGGATAACAGGGGAATCCTCAGTGTACATGAAGTGCATACTGCTCTGGTCGGATAACCTTGTCTACTGTCAGTGCCCTGGAAGGATCTGAAGGAAGAAGAGCACTGTTCAGCCACTCCTCATATTCACGTGTGTAAAAGCAGAGCACCTCTGGTGAGAGGGGACATTCCAATTGGTCTATGAATTCTGTTGCCAGAAGCAGCTTGGAGGCAGCTCATTCAATCACCGCATTGCAGATCTGCTGGAGATCGGTGCCAAACGTTCACCCAGAGCTCAGGCACTGGTAGATTAAGACAGAGCTGGATTAAGCCTTCATATGGTCCTGTATGGGTCTGAGAGAAAAAATGACCCAGATCCTCCATTACAATTATTAAAATTTCAAAATGAGAAGACTGTGAAGGGAAAATCCTAGCTTTTACCTAAATTTTTAAGGAAACCTTGGAAGTCAAGGGAATGAAGGATCAAGTTTGGATCCTAGCACGCAGCCTCTGAGAGAGTGGCAGACACATGGAGCTGCGAGAGTGTAGCTAGGCTTCAATTGAGTTCCAGAACTTGGACATGCCAAGAATACGGAACATAAGAAAACCTGTGGGCAATGAGCAGAGCCCACAGTGAGGCCAGATGGGCTTTAAAGGAAAATACTATGAAGGCATGCTATGACCTCTTCTGAGGGTCTACAATCTCACTACCAGTTTGCACCACACCCAGACATGGGGCTACAGTATTAATGTCTGTCTTCCTGGATTCTGGCCTTGCTCTGGTTCGGGTGTTTTTTGCTATTCTTCTACTATTCTCTTCTGTAATGCGATTTTAATCTGTGCTAGTCTATCATGAAAGAACACAACACATTTTTGAGTTTTACAGAGGTAAACCTTAGCTTTGAGTCCAAGGCTCTAGATTTTTGAACAACACTAGAACTGGCACACTTGGAGATGACAATGTATTTTTGCATTATAAGATAGACATGGGTGTTTTGAGAGCCAGACGAGGAACACTGCAGTTGGGGTATCAATGATCTCCCCAAAGGGCTTACATACGCAAGACTTGGTCACACATTTTATGCAGTGTTCAGAGGAGCTTTAGGCATGTGATTTGGTCATGCCTTTATCAAGAGATTAATCTATTAGATGAAAAACTATATTCTAAGTACCCCAAGTAGCAAAACTAGTATCTGAGGAAGCAAACTTCAAGCCAGAATTATTGAGATGAGACTCAGGTTAGTAAACAGGAGTAAAGGTGTCAATCTTTCCTGGAAGATTGGGTGTACTATGCTGATCCTTTAATGACTAGGGAGAGTACTGAGGTGGATTTACAACTGCAGATTTTGAAAGATCTGCCAGGTACTCTTGGGAAATGAAGGTACACGTCACCATCTTATGAAAAACATGGAAAATGAATTAACAGAGAACAATCTGCCATTTTTCTGCTTTACCTCACGGAGAGTCTCAGTATCTGCTAAGTCATTAAACAGAGTGAGTAATAAAGTAGAACAGAGAAGGCCGCTCAGACACACACGATCCCGTTCCCTTGTTCCTTAGCTATGTGGTGATACATAGCTAAACATTATGTATCTAATTTGTGTCACTTATAAACAGAATTGGTACTGCTTACCTTGTAGTTTTCTATGGAGATTAAATAGGTAATGAATCTCTGAAGACCTAAATAGTTGCAAGGCACCTGCAAGATATTTTCTATAACTGGTACTAAGTCATTCTTTGAAGGCAGAACAGTAACTTCAACAATGCACCATGGCCTACTTATATATTGGCAAACGCACAGCAGGCCCTAAAGAAACAGAAATGATACCTAAATTATTCTTAATCTTGTACATTAATTTAAGACAGCAAATGAACAATTTCCAGGAAAAATGAATGCTTTCAGTCAGTTTCAAATACCTCCCAGAAGTCTTCCACTGAAGAAAAGAGAATTCCTTTTTCCTATAAAGATATAATTTCAAGTGATATTAAAATACAATATTTGCTGTATTATAAAAATTATTGTAAAACATGTTGACTCAATTATATATACACACACATATTTCTTTTACTTTACATGCTGTTTTTCTCAAATAATGAATAGTGACATAAATTTAAAACATGATCATTAATATATGATATATAATTTCTATTTGTCTAATGTCTCATTCAAATTTCAAATAGTTAAGCCATTAACTTTTATTAATAAAATACATTCACGTATTTCTTAAAACCAGAGCACTATAATCGCCCTTAGAAAAACATCATATATGAAATACTGATACTCTACATGCCATCCCCTCCCCTGCCCCCAACAGGGTTTCTCTGTGTAGCCCTGACTGTCCTAGAACTTGCTCTGCAGACCAGGCTGGCCTGGAACTCAAAAAGATCGGCCTGCCTCTGCCTCCCAACTGCTGTGATTAAAGGTGTGAACCGTCACACCTGGCTTAATTACATATCATTTCTACAGAGAATTCATACTAAGTATAATCCTGGTGTCATCCACTGTAACTGTGAATACACTAGTGTTTAAGTTACAATATTAATACTTAAAAATTATTATTCCTGTCCATCAATAGATGGATAAACAAAACATACAGCCATAAAAATGGATTGTAAGTACACATTAAACATGGAGGTATTAAAAAACCCCATACACAAAAGCCACACTATTTCATGATTCCATTTATGTTATGCCCCCAAATCAGCAAACCCACAGGCAGAAAATATATTAGCAGTTTCCAGAGGCTGGGGAAGAGCAGATTCGAAAGTGGAGGTTAATACACCTAGGGCTTCTTCTGCAGACAAGAGAAATCTTGTGAAACTAGACAGTGGTGGTGATTTCACAATGTGGTGAATGTGCTTAAGATCACCAAACTGTGTGCTCCAAAAGGGTGAATTAATCTCAATTTTAAATTTAAAAAGTAATGTTCCAATACAGATCACAGTTTCCATGACTGTGAGTAGGAGCATAAGAAACAAGTTCTCTAAGATGAAGACATCACATCAGGAGAATTTCTGGGCGAGGGAAACCACAGTATTTTAATTATATTTATTTAAGGTGTATGTAGGTGAGAACAATCTGTGTGAAACAGAGTTCTCTCCATCCATCACAGGGGTACCAGGGACCCAATCCAGTTCGGTCTTTGGGCTTGGTGGCAAGGACCTTAGCCCACTGAGCCATCGTGCAGGTTTGGTGAGGTATGTAAAAGGAGCGGCGGGCTGCGTTCCCGCCTGGCTCCCGGCTAGTTTACCCCCAAAATAATTACAGGGAAACTATATTCATTTAAACACTGCCTGGCCCATTATCTATAGCATCTTATTGGCTAACTCTCACATCTTGCTTAACCCACATTTAGTAATCTGTGCAGCACCACGAGGTGGTGGCTTACCAGGAAATATTCAGCATGTCTGACCTGGGGGCTAGCTGCATAGCGTCTGCCTCACTGCCTTCTTCCTCCCAGCATTCTGTTTTGTCTACTCCACCTATCTAAGCTGCTGTCCTATCAAAAGCCAAGGCAGTTTCTTTATTAACCAATGAAAGTAACACATAGACAGTTAGCCCTCCTCCATCAGAGGTAAACTGTGACAGCATATGTAAGAGCACACTGAAGGAAAACACTGCTGCTGTGCTTTACACATATAAGAAAGAGCTTTCCTACAAACTGAAATTAAAATTTTCACAAGAAGCCAAAATTGTTAGGTAACAATCATTCCAATGTTGTCAGTTACATTATATACGAATGAAGCCTACCCCATAAGAAGGTATTCAGCTTAGCAAACAATGAACTTACCTTTCCAAGGGTGATCCAAGAATCAGCTGGTGAAAATTTCATAAATGCTGTTTCTGGATGGTGTCATTTCAAGAAAAAAAAATGTACGCACAGGGATCTTGCTGCAAGAAACTGCCTGGAGGTAAAAATAATGTTCTGAAAACCATTGACTTTGCAATGTCTCAAAAGGATGGGGATGCATATTCATCTTCTGATGTAATGCAGATTCTCATAAGATGAACAGCACCAGGAGCTCGTAATTGAGTTTTGAGAGTGACCGAGAGCTCTGGCATCCTCTGCTGGGAGTCCTTCAGCCTGGAGGCCTGCCCACTCTTGGCTCAAAGTCTTCATTATCTGTGCTTGTCTGAGGACTTATGATGCTTCTTCTCATCCTTATCTCCACAACTGTCCCATTTCTCTTTCTTTTCTACCTTTTCTTTATCATGCCCAGACTCCTTTTTCCCACTAGATACTTTATCCACCTTATCAGGTTTAAAGAAATCACCTTTTTCTTTGCCTGAGGATTTTGACTTATTTTTTTCCTTGTCTTTCTCATTTGGATAAGGAGACTCACAGGGGCTTTCACTTTTGTGCTTTGAAGTCCCCAATATTCCATTTTCATCTTTCCGCCTTTTGACTAAGTCTAGAGGCACTTCCCGGTCATTGTTTGAATAATCCCTTTTCCTCTCTTTCCGGTCCTTTTCTTCTTTTTTTTCTCTCTCTCTGGATCTTTCCCTCGACTTGTCCAAATCTTTCTTGTCCATTTCTCTCTCCTTACTCTTGCACAACGGAGGTGGAGCATGGTTGATGTAGAGCTTTGCTGAAGACTCCTTGAGTTTGTTGAGACTGTCCTTTATTGTGGAAGAATGGGATGGAGAAGGATGGGAATCTACCTTGCGACGTTTTTCTCTTTCGGGCTCTGCATTATCTGTTCGGGAAACAGGTGATTTCAAGGACCCAGAAATTGGTGTTTTTTCTCCTCCTTTAATATTTTCTTTTGATTTCATTTCCTTTGCTAAATCTCTTTCTCTTGATGGCTCTTTCTCTTTTTCTCTTTCTTGAGTGGACTTTGAATCTATGTTAGGGACAGTGATCCTGAACTTCTCATCTTTAGCTTTTTCCTCCTTCTTTAATTTTTCCTTATCTTTGTCAGATTTAGGCATTCTTTCCTTGGTCTCTCTTATTTTCTCATCTTTATTTGGTTGCTCTTCCTTGGATTTTTCTTTATTGTCTTTACAAAGAACCCTAGCCTCTGGAATAACAGCTGAGGTCTTTTCTTTTTTCTCTTTTTCCTTCTCTTTCCCCTTTTCTTTATCATTTTCCTTAACAGCTTTGGTGTTGGAGCCGCTGTTTCCATTGTTTGAATTCCCTTTTGGTACGGCACTAGAGGCTTTAGTGACAGCTTTCAGGCCACACTGAGACCTTTCCCTTGACTTGTCAGTCTCCTCAGTACTGCTTTCATCTGACTTAGATGTGTTTCCTATAGAAGAAGGCAGCCCACTACAAGGTCCATTTGGTACACTTGAAACAGCATTTCTTGGAGGAGGATCTTTGTGATGAAATTCATTTTCAGGTATCATGTACGACTTTCTATTTTTCAGCTGCCCAGAGTAGACCATTGCTAGTACATACAGATCTGGCTTCTTTTCTTTCTCTTCTTGGCAGATTTTATGTACTCTTCTTTCCAAAGCCTGTCCCAGATTTAAAACTTTGGGGTACCATGGCAGTATTTTTGTGAGCACAATCAAGATATTTCTGATATGAGTATATTCACCTGTTTCAAGGCAATGTACCGACGCCTTGGTTAGTTTATAATGCCATTTATGTACAACATGCCGAAAATTCTCATAATCTAACTGATCCGCTTTATTTCCACCATCAAATCCAGTTGCTCGTAATATAGTAAGGAATCCTGGATAGTTTCCACATTCCTTCTCATAAGTAGATCTGTCACTATGCCACCTAGTCACCGTCTCTAACATGCAGCAAAGAAATCTACCATATCGACTAGCTTCATTTTCAGTAAAGCTAGCAACCATGTAAATTATATCAGAGAAAACTCGATCATAGCAGAGAAGTGTGGAGAAATTTGGAGTCTTCTGTTGATGGACCAACTCAACAAAATGCGCACAGTAAACAGAATCAATTGCTGAAAAAATACAACGAGGAAATATACACAGCTGGAGAAACTTTGTGATGGTCTCATTTTTAGTAGATTTTGCTAAGAGCCAGTTGTCCTTTTCCAATTTCAGTCTCTGTAGAACTCGCTGCACATGCTCCGTCTGTTTCTTTTCTTCTTCAAGAAGCTTGTCCTGAAGGGCAGTACAGCGCTCTTTCTCTTTTTTCTTTTTATTCAGAGGCATTTCTTGATTGTCATCAATTGCTTTCATCTGGATCTTAAGTTTATTGACTTCTCGTTCATAGCTAGTGTGTGGAACTGCAAGGTCATATATTGTCAGAGACCAGAACGTGGTATAAAATTGAGGGCTGATATCTTCCCAGACTTTGGAAATGTGTAAGGAGATCACTGCTTCATGGACAGGAGCCATCACCATCTCACATGATGTAATGTATTTATGAACTTTATGTTGCTGTTTACTACCCTTTTCTGATTTCTTAAGTTCATCATACTTTGATGAAATATGGTGCGCATACATTGGCCGAGATAGAAAAAATGCTGCATCATGGGGTGTATGAAATTCATTACACAGTACATCAATTGAAGGTACTCTCTTTATGTAATCATCTGTGCTTAAATTTGAAGCTAAAAACCCACCAAACTGTACCAAAGTATCATGACACTGGTCATACAGTTTTCCTACAAGCTTCAAATGTTTCTCTCCGCCTTCCTGAAAGATCACACCATTCCTCTGCTGGGCCATAAGCAAACAGAGAGGAAGGGCAAGGTCATGGTCCAGCAGTGCATCCTTCAATCTCTGAGAGGATTTTTTAGTGTTTCTTATCTGGCCAAAATATCCACCCTCAGCTTTCAGTTGCTCCCCACCAGTCATAGCCTCTAGCTGGTCCATTGTCATTTCCTCTGTAACTTCTATTCCTGCCATTTTTTGTACCACTTCTTTCAATATAAGCAGGTCAAAACTTTTGCCTGCCTTTAATTGATTGGCTACATACTGAAGAAGACCAGCAAGATCAATTGGGTATTTACGAAAAACTGCACCACAGAAACTAGCCAGGCTCTGAAGCCAGCTTGAGATGGTTGTGTCATCATGCTTCATTCTTTCTTTTTCTGGATTAGCTAATGCTTCAATGATACAATAGGCCAAAACATCATAGTTCAACGCAGTGAGATATTTCAATGAGTCTACCACTGGTGTTATTAAGTTATCGTATTTCTGTATTTGTGACAAGACATAATCAAACAAAATGGTTGGATTGCTGTGGCTCAGTTTCCCAATCTGTCTTCCTGAAGGCTTCACATTTTCCTTGGTTAGACGCTTCATAATGTACTTGGCTCTGTCTACTGTGTGGGCTTTAATTTTTACTAAAAGTGGGTGACTATGGTAAGTCTCATTCTTCCACTGGCCATATAAGCGGTATCTATGCTGATAAGGAAATGTTTTAAACATTCCCCATAGTTCCTCGGACATACACGCATTGCAATCCATCAAAGAAAGAGATGGAAGTAGTACCTGGTCAGTTATGCTAAGCAAACAACTAAAAATGACTTCCATTTTCTCTTTATTTTCTTGCTTCCCATCAGACTGAAATTCCTTCATAAATGACTTGCCTATGCGCACAACCTTTGCAAATAAGATGGGATCATGAGAAAGGTGGGGACCGAGATAACAGAACATACTGAATACATCTCTCCTTAAGTCTTCAAAGCTCTCTGCTGGCTTTGGTGACTTCTTGTTTTGTAAAGCATTGACAGGTGAACCTTTAGCACCTTTAGGAACACCAACTCTTCGGTAAAGAGGTTCAATAGTTATGTGTATAAGATTGCAAATAGCAAGGGCTATTACTTTATGTGACGCTGCATAGTATGGAGGCATTCGATCCATAATACTCTGTGCATGCTGCCAATCACCAATAATTAACAAGGCTTCCAACAAACCAAGTTTTTGATTGTCAGGTGCCTTCTCTACTTTATCATCTTTTTTCTTTTCTTTCTCTCGTTCTTCACTTTTGTCAGAAGGCAATACAACCATTGTAAGTTTTCTGACAATGTGTTTAGCTTCCACAATTTCTCGTTTGTATTCATTCACAATGCAACTATCAGCTGGAAGAAGGTGTACATAAAGATCATCCAAATCGATAAGATTAAACTGCAGAAGTACTGCTGCAACTGTATATAAAGATGATGGAGTCTCACCATTTGGTTCCTGGTAAAACTTGAATTTGAACCCAAGAATATGACACAATGTTTGTGGTTCACACATATTCATATAAGCTTCTAATAAAGCTATGAAGAAATCATGGTGTTCTGGCCTACACTCAAACACCTCTAATATGATATCCAAAACTCTATTGGGGTCTAGATTAAAGCAACCTATTAAAGATTTGAGAATTTCTAAGATTAAATCACTAGTAATATTTCCAGATAAATCTTGCCCCAATTCAACAATAAGCTTGGCATAACCTTCATTTTCTTCTCTTAACAAATTGAACTTCTGTTGTTTGTAAAAGAGTTTCGTCTTGATTTTAACTGACTTCTGATTGAACTGCTGCGATTGTTTGATAAGGCCTAACGACTCCAATGTTTCTGGATCCAAGCGTTCCTTTAGAACTGTGTCTGAAACTAAATATAAACATGCTAATACCAACTGTGTAAAATGATCTCTCTTGCTCTTTTCTTCTAAACAATTCGTCTCAATATCTAATATGCAGAATATATCGGCAAGAATAAGTGGAATATCTTCACAAAATTCACTGATGTCACTGAGAACACTGGATGCTTGTTCCGGCTTTAAAGTTCCTTTAATGACATGGTATGATAACTCATAGAGAGCTTGTTGGAAATCTCTACAAGCCAAAGTGTCGCGGCTTTTACTTTCACTGAGAATCCGGCATAAACGCAAAAACTCGCTTCTCCCCGATTTCTCCCAGTTCTTGATCCACTCAGCAGGAACCACTACAGTTGTCGCGGTCATCGCCATCTTCTCTTTAGTAGTAACAGAGCCCCAGGTGTGCAGTATGAACTTGTGCGAGGTCAAAGGAGAACCCCATCCACAGCGAATGCTGGGAACTGAGTGTTCTGAAGAAAGGGTTTTAAGGTTGAGTTTTTTTCTGATTCAGGAACCGGAAGCTGCGAGTGCTGGATGCACAGTGCTGCAGTCTGCTGTCTGGGTGTCTCTGTGGCCTCAGCCACTCACACTGCAGGTCACTGCAACAAAGAAAGAGTAGAATAAGAGTCCAAAAGCAAAGCTCACAAGTTCCCTAAGCCAAATGCCTCCATGAGGGCAGCTGCTGTTGGTGAAGGACCAAGTACCCATCCAGGTCTTCTCTCAGCCTTAACATCTTTCCCCATCAATTTTCTAGGTATCATGATCTGAATTTGGTTTATTCATATTGGCTTATCAGAAACCAGCTGACTCCGACAGGCTAGTAAGCAGACCCTATAGCTGTCTTCAGAATCCCATATAAGCCTTGTTATCTATCTCAGGTTAGAACCTGTGCTTCATCTGATGATTCTTCTTACAGATACTAGGGGACCCTTTTGGGTTTCCCAGGTGGATTCTCCATTCCTCTTGGTTCTGATCTTTGAGAATGAATATTTGGTGACTTTGGGATCCTTTTGATTTCTGTAGGGGAGGGGAGGTTGAAGTTGAGTTTTCCCACTTCTACAGTTCATTCATCCATACTTCTAGTGTTGGCCATGGCTGCATAAAAATCTTTTCCCTTGCAGCTACACCATGACATTCTTCTCTGGTGCCCCAAACCTGGTGGTGGTAACTTCCTCGAGTGCCTCTCCTTCCTAGTTGGTTCCCTTAACTCTACGACATCTCTAACACAGTGTCTTCCTTCAATTTGCTTTAAACATCACTTTGGTTCATCATCTTTTCCCTTTTGGAAGTTGAGAAATACCCATCTGCCTGCGTCTGCTAATCAAATCCTGTGGGAAAATTTCTAACCTAACCCACAAATACTCTCAGTTCACACTGACAGAACCAAGGAGAAGGCAAGAAGATACAAAAGATAGCCTAGAGCTAATCTGTCCCTGCAGAAGAGCTCACAGTAGCCCCAGATATCTTGTTCACCAAACTATCAAAGAGGAATGGACACTGTGTAGGCACACAGCAGCAGTTACCAGCCTGTGGGTCACATAGCACATAATCTATCAGATACACACATCAGATTATGATTCAGAACAATAACCAAATTACAGCTATGAAGAAGCAACAAAATAATTTTATGGTTGTTGGGGGGGGGTCACACAACATGAAGAACTGTATTGAAGGGTTACAGTATTAGTAAGGTTGAGAACCACTGCTCTAGAGTCAATAGAAGGATGAAGAGAGCTTGAAGGAGTAAGACCCAATGAATCCAAGAACAACCAAATTAATTAAGTAATTAAGATTACTTTCAATTAATGTAATATTGTAATAAATGAACTACAAATCATACTGGGGTTTCTGGTGAGTTTATTGCTAAAAATACTGGCTGGTGTTGAACTTGCTATCTCTAGTGGTACTCTGCTCAGCTTCCCAAATATTTGTAACTTACAGTCATTTATATCTCACTAGGACTCTTCCCCAACCTCCAAGATTACAGTCCATATTTCACCAAATCCTAATAGGGAGACTGGTCAGAAGAATTTTATAGTTGCAACTCAAGTTCTCAAACAGCCAGCTCTATGAAGGTGAGGTTGCAAAGCTAGGCCTGATTTAATACATAAACTTCTTTAAAGGTGAGGTTGTAAAGTTAGGCCTGATTTGATACATAAACTCCTTTAAAGGTAAGGTTATAAAGATAGGCCTGATTTAATACATAAACTCCTTTAAAGACAGAAACTAGAAGTTAGAGAAATTCCATGTTTCAGAATAACTCAACTTGTTCTGAAAGGGAAGGGAAAATCATTTAGGAAAAAATGCTGGAAGCCTGGAGAAGCTGGAGGCAGCGGGCAGAGGTCATAGGGGCTTTAGTTCTGACATCAAATGGAACTTATTCCTCTTATAACTGGACTTTGGAAGCATATTCGGGTAAGATTCTTTAGTTGAGTTCAGATGGCTGACAGTTTTGTTAGTTTTCTGGTAAGTCTTGATCACAGCTGTTTTAATATACTTAGCAGTAATCTGTTATTTCATAATGAAAACAAATACACCTCTCCTTTCCACTTCTCTAATGGAACTCTTAAGTTCAGTGGGAGTCTGTCATTGTGCAGAACACCAGTGCTAAATATGTGTCCTACTCAGTGACTTCAAACTTCATGCCTCAGCGGTTTCAGCCTCCAAGAGATATTCCATTTGCCCCCTTGTGCTTGCAAATTCCTGGCTTCATTAGGATGATGAATTGCCTTCCCCACTCAACTCTCTTGCTCTATTCTTTGGTCTTAGCAGAACTATATTCTGGAGTTTATTCAAGCTCTCTACATTTATGGAGAGAGTCATACTTACTGTGGCTCTCATGTTACTGTATATAATCTAGTCTGAGAGATCCTAGAGAAGCTATTTAGTCCCTCCATATATCTCACTAACGTTGAAAACCTTTTTCTTACCCAACTTAGGTCTGGTGAGTAGCGATCTGAAACAAGCCTACAGCAGACAAAGACTGGCAAGAGTAGACACGTTAATCTTGCACACTTGCAGATGAAGAGGTGTTTTAAGAGTGTGTAAACTGGCTTAGCAAGTGAAAAGGAAGAGGCTGTTTCTAAAGTAAATTGGCCATGGAATTCCTGGGTGTACCTTGGGTGGCAGTTCCCAAAAGTATCTCAGTTTTCAGAAAAGGTTTTTCTTGCAAGTTTTAAAATCATTCAACTTATGTTGTTACAATAGGTTACCCTTTTTCTGATAAAATTCTCTTCTGCTTCCATCATCTAATTTAGTATTCTATTTGACCAGTATATTCAATCTAATTTTTTTTCTTGTGAACACCTCTAAGATATTAAACTACAGTTAGTACCGTTATCATGTAAAGAACTTTTATTTTTCTTCTGCTGACTCTGGTTATTAAGATAACTTTGTTATTTAAGGTCAACTGGAGTTTGCTATTTCAGAAAGACCCACGTAGAATGTAAATATTGAACGTGAGAACAAGAAAAAAGAGAAAGGGATGGGGGAACAAAGCAGGCCATTTAAAAACCAAGATGCTAAAGGAACTGCTCTATCTGAAAACAATAATAGAGATAAAATATTTAAGTCAGCTCTAAGATGAAATGCTGAAATATCAATGGCTAAATACATATTCAAGCACTCTTGGCTCCTCAATTTCCATGACAGGAAAATAATTATTTCTATTAATAAATGAGTTTTCATAGATTGTTGGTATGAGGAAAATCAGTTTTAAATAGCTTTCTTCATAGGTCCTTACTAAAATGTGACAGTTAGAAAATCTAATGAACATTCAATTTAATGGCAAAGACTATAAAAATAAAGTAGCTGCATTTCAATGAGAAACACAGCAAAAGATGTAAAGTCAATTATTTTAGTGACAAAAAATATAACTGTGTCTAAATTCACCAAATGTAAGCATTGCTTCAAAATGTAAATTAAAGACAGAACTGTTCTGCTGGCTCCTGCATGGTCCGAGAAGACCCATTCTTGTCTCTCTAAACACCTTTCACTCAGACAATCTCTGAACAAAGGAAAGCTCAGGTAAACATTCTTGGTGGCTAAGACAGCTTCATCCCCTGAAGTTGCCGGCCAGCCAAGTCCCTACCTAAAGTGTTCAGCTTTTGATCACACTTGGACACAACCCTAGCTTGTGACGAACATATCATCACCTGTCACCTACAACCTCTATCATTTCCCTGCTTTAGTTCTGACATGCAGCTTCTCCAGCCTCAGTCTCTGGGAGTGGAGAAACCTGTCTGGGAGTTGTTTTGTTTAAAAAATTCTGTTGTTATACCTTTTCAATTCAGCTTGATCTGGCTTGCTACATCAGCAGAGAAACCTATCATGGGGGGGGGGGGCAGAAAATCTATAAATAATTAAGAACTAAGGCTAAAAGAAAAATGCTTATAAACATACTCTACTTTTGGGTAAATAATGAAAAACAAGTTGAACATATCACAAAAGGATTGCACAAAATGAATGTATAAAAGTTTATCTATTTTATACACGAATGCTTTGTCTGCATTGTACAGACCAGATGAGGGAGGATCCCACTATAGACAACTGTGAGCCACTATGTTGAAAATTGAACTCAGGACCTCTACAAGAGCAGGAAAGCCAGTGCTCATAACTGCTAAGCCATCTCTTCAGTCCCCACAAAATATTTTACAGAAGGAAATAGATGTATAATTTAGTTGGCTATAATTAGAAATGTACTTAAGTTTTTCTAAAGAGATAAAATTTTGATGAACTAATATATGAGAATTTTATTCTCTACACTTAAAACTAGCTTTCTGAAAACAGATTTGCTCTTAATAGAATTTGCAAGAAATGACACAAGAAACAATGTTATGTTGTGTTTTCTGTTGACATAAGGTTGAGATTGATTAGAGAAAACTACACTTTAAAAGAGTTAAGATTTGTAAACATTTACTTTAATGTCTTTTAAGTGATCATAGCTCTGGTTAAATCTGACTTATAACTCTGGTCAAGCAAATGATTTGATAGTATGTTAATATAAATACCAAAAATTACATAAAATTTATTTTCAAAAAATTATTATTTTATGTGCATGGGTTTTGCCTTAATGTATACCATATGTGTGCCTGGAACCTAAAGGAGGCCAGAATAGGGTGTCAGATCCATCAAGACTGGAGTTACAGGTAGGTGTGATCCTGCTACATGGGTTCTGGGAAGAGGACCCCAGGTCCTCAGCAAGATGGAGTATTCTTAACTGTTAAGTCATCTCTCCCGTACCATGGTTATAGACAATTTATAAAAGCCTCCTGGTGATGGTAAACACTGTCAGCCAGAATTTTTATCTTACAACTCTATATACAATAAAACAGACAAGATCTCCTGAGTAAATTGGGAGTGTGATGGGCAGTGAGGGTGGAAGATGAAAGGGAAAGAGGGAAGGGGGGTGGAGAAAAAAATGTATAGTACATGCCTATCCAAACAATTAAAATGAGGATATAAAAAATAGAAAATATTAAACTGTCTTTGATGTGGGATAATGCTCTCGTACACTGTAAAGATTTGCCACTCATATTAGTTTAACAAAACACTGATTGATCAGTAGCCAAGCAGGAAGTATAGGCAGGGCGACCAGACA